AGTTCTTCAAGGTTGTATGCCTGAAATCATTACGACTAATCTTCGTGGCAAGTTTCATTGGAATGCCCTAACCTAGTGACACCAATTCATAAAAAAAAAAAAAAAGAAAGAAAAATTGGAGTATAAATTCGTGTAATTTTGATCAATAAAAATCCCAAGTAAGCTTTACTCAATTCATCATTTAGTGTTTTTATAATGTCCGCGAGACTTGTGGGTCGTGATCACTGTACGAAGAAAAAGCCTTCGAAGGATAGCGGCAAGAGTAAACCGGTACCAGAGTTCGGAACTCGCGACATTGTTTCTCCAGACTCTAAAGAACAATACCTTTTCTTGTTAGAGTTCTTCATCCATCATATAGCCAGCGAACGTCTGGCGAAACTCAATCAAATGTTTTTCGTCCCTACTACAATAACCGTGGAGTTCCTCAACTTCACGGGGAAAGAGGGCATCGAAATAACCCCGGTGGACCCGTTATTTCAACCTCAAGCAGGGGTTGCAGACGACATCGAATATTTCTTCTCTGGTCGCTCTGTGATGTTCGCTATAGATCAATACACTGTGCTCGACAAACTGTTGGACCTGATCGTCAAACTATGTGTGCAAAAGAAAATGCCAGAGGGTGTGAAACCAGACGTGTTAGTAGGCAACGGAGAACTAGATCTCTCGAAACATTTCGCTGCCTTACGAAAAGAGATGCTGCAATGCTGGCACAAAATGGCCCCGCCACCGAAAGTCTACGAGGGAGAAGTTCCCTTGATTTACAACGAGGATACAATCGGCGGTTTGTGCATGTTTGTCAGAGTTTCTGCATTCGGACAAACAATTGTCACGGAATTCGATGCACCGCCCGAAAGAGCCGTCTCGTCTTACATATTCAAAGGCGAGAACTGCGAAAAACCACCAACGTACAGATGTCGTATCGTCGATTCTAGAATCGCGAATGTTTGTAAAGACTCGAGGGATGAATTGCTGAAAGGCGGGCCTCGTTGCCGCGTTTGCATCCCGGAAGAGCATCCTTGCACTCCTTGTGGACAGCCAGCTGGAGCTACGTTGAAACCAAACGTAAGTCGCAGACATGTCAGTGATGCGACACCGGAGACGACGTTGCGATCAAAACCGGACACTTGCTCCGATGTGCAGAAGCCTGGCCTGATACAATCTAGCCGTGGGCCGGTGCAACCGTGTGGAAAGGCAGTGGTTTTGAAAGTATCCGGCATCCTGGACACGGGCCAGGACAAGAAGCCCACCGTTACCGTGGCGCCTGAGTCTGAAACCAGGCCGGATACCGATCCCGATCATGACGTGTTTGTCCTTCGAATCGGGAAAAAAGGACTCGTCGGGGCTGGAGAGAAATCTGATATACAGTTGGAGATGAAAACGCCCAAAGGAGCGGAGAAAGGGCCTCCTATTAGATGCGAGACCAGGGAAGTGCAAACGGACGACAAGAAGAGCAAGAAGAAGACGAAGAAAAAGAAGAAGAAGTAGATTGGATACTTTCTTTGACGGCATGTTGATTTTATCATTGTATTTTATGCAGGCTGTTATTAAACTCATTAAATTTCGATTTTCGGGCTTGATTCAACATTTATTTACATGACGGAGTATTTTCAACATCTTCGGGGGGGCCAGTTCTTCGGCCGAACTCAATAATACAAGCAAGGGAAGTGAATGGACGAGCAATTTAATTTGAATTATATCGTAAAGCGCCCTCTGGGCGCGGCTATTTCAAACCGTCAAAATTTTGAAAACCGCGAGGCTCGATGGCACGAGTATCAAAATTGAGGGTTAACAGATAAACTTTGTATAACACTTTGACAATCGAGAGAACTAAATCCATGGGAAGATTCATTTGAAACTTGATAACATTATATATCGCGCTCGGTGAAATGGCAGACGAGCAAGAACTTTTCCTGATCGAGTTTCTGGTCGATAAGGTTAAAATTCCAGTGATAAGGGCCATGCAGGATGAAGTATTGCCTGCTTGTACTTGCGTCTCGTTCCAAGTAATCTCGAAAATTATATTAAACTCCCGAGAGTTTATTATTTTCTTCTCTTATACTTTCATCAGCTAGCAGACACGAAAACGATTTCGTGTTTTTTTTTTTTTTTTTTTTTTTTTTTCCAAGTAACACCGAGTGATCGTATTTCCATATAAATCTGCAGATCCTTAGCCTGCCGTCAATCGACATTTGCCAAGAAGCCGTAACAGATGGCTGCGGCTGCTCAGAAGGCGACACGCAAGTTTTCAAGAAAGGGAAATCCTGTTTGTTCGCGTTGCCATCGATCGTTCTACAAAGACCATTGACTACATTCCCCATAAAACTGTCCGTCTACAAGCGACTGCCACCTGCAGTGCTGCCGGATGTGATGCTGGTTGGCTGTCATCAGATCGAGGCGAAAGCCATAATGAACGCGGTGTTGAGCCAACAGGTCTTCAAGATACCGAATCCTTGCCAAACAATCAAGGACACGTTCAAGATCGCTACAGCGACGGGACAATGCGTTGGATCCGTCACGGTCTACATACGTGCTTCCTGCTTCGGCAGGAAGATCGTCACCCAGTTTCAAATACCGCACAACAGGAAACCATATCTTTTTAAAGGGGCGGACGACAGTCCTGTTTTCCAGTGCAAGAGAATACCCTCCGAATGTTACACACCGGTCCCATTGAAGTGTACCTGCACGAAGAAATATGTCGATGGTAGCGGAGAGTCTGCAGGAAGAACCTGTTGTGCCACGCCGGTCGTTCAGACGTCCTCGTGCCCACCGTTACCTAAACAACCTGATTACGGGCCACGACCATGCTGCGCCTCGCGCCAACCT